TTATCTGAAATCAGTTTAATCCCATCCAAATGAAGTGACTGGCTAATCAGTTTCTTTTTCAGAGACTCTGGTCCAAAGACTATAACTTCTGTTTTGTCTGCATTCAGAAGCAGAAAGTTAAGAGTCATCCAGGTTTTTATGTCTTCAAGACATGCCTGTAATCTATGTAATGGGTTAGCTTCATCTGGATTTATAGACAGATATAGCTGGGTATCATCAGCATAACAGTGGAAATTAATCCCATGCTGTCTAATAATTCTACCAATTGGGAGCATGTATAAAGTAAAGAGAATTGGTCCTAGCACTGATCCCTGTGGTACTCCACAGGTAACCTTTGAGCGTGTTGAAGATCTATCATTAACATGAACAAACTGAATTCGATCAGATAGATAAGATTTAAACCAGTCTAGTGCTGTTCCTTTAATTCCAACAAAATATTCAAGTCTTTCTAAAAGAATATTATGGTCAACTGTATCAAATGCAGCACTAAGATCCAAAAGGACGAGCACAGATACAAGTCCATTATCTGAGGCCATGAGAATATCATTAGTGACTTTCACCAGAGCTGTTTCAGTGCTATGATGAGCTCTAAAGCCAGACTGAAACTCTTCAAAAAGTTCATTATGGTGGAAGTGATCGCAAACTTGTTTGGCAACTACTTTCTCAAGAATTTTGGATAAGAAAGGAAGATTGGATATAGGTCTATAATTGACCAAGTCATCTGGGTCAAGAGACGGTTTCTTAAGCAGAGGTTTAATTACAGCAACCTTAAAAGCTTTAGGTACATATCCCTGTAACAGAGATAGATTAATCACATCTAAAATGGAGGAGGAGATCAAAGGGAATACCTCCTTAAATAACCTGGTTGGAACTGGATCTAACATACAAGTTGAAGGCTTAGATGAAGACAATAATTTTGCTAATTCAGAGAGTTCAACTGGATCAAAGCAGTCTAAACCCAGTTCAGATTCCATGACTACCTCAGGTACAATCGCGGATAGAGGAGTGCTTATGATCTTATTTTTAATAAGATCAATCTTATTTATAAAGAATCCCATAAAGTCATTGCTGCTAAGAGCAGGTGGAATGGACGGTTCAACAGAGCTATGGCTCTGGGTGAGTTTGGCAACTGTATTAAAAAGAAATCTAGGATTATTCTTATTCTCCTCTATTAATGAGGAGAAGTATGCTGCTCTTGCTTTACAAAGGGTCCTCTTATACAGCAGTAAACCATTTTTCCAGACTAGGAAGGACTCTCGCAGGCCTGTGGAGCGATATTTTCTCTCCAGTTTCCTAGCATTTTGCTTCAAAGTACGCAGCTCTGCATTAAACCAAGGAGCAAGCTTTCTATTTTTAACGGTTTTCATTTTCAAAGGAGCTGCGTTGTCTAAGGCAATACGCAGAGAACTAGCAACCCCATCAACAAAATCATCAACCTGTGAAGGGGAATAAGCTAAACTTTTGCACTCTGCAGCACTGCTCAGTGACACAGAGGAGAGAGAAAGTGAAGCAGATTCTTTAAAATTTATAACTGCACTATCTGATAAAGATCTACTAAAATTGAACCTTCTTTTGGGGGAGGAGAACTCTGTTAAAGTAATCCTGAAGGTTATTAGAAAGTGGTCAGAGAGGACAGGGTTGTGAGGAAATACTGTTATTTCTTCACATTCTATGCCGTATGTCAGCACAAGATCCAAAGTATGAAGATGAGAATGCGTGGGATGACCATTTACACACCAAGGTAGCACGATTCCTCGCTCCCAGTGGCTATCTACGGTACTACTGCTCTCTAGAGGTAAACAAGCAAACCAACATGGCGGCTTCCATAAAATTCAGGAAGATTGGTTATAATTGTTATATCACGGTTTCCGCGGGTCATTTTAAAGTCATCAAATAATTTTTTTTGACTAAGGCCTTAATTGGCATTAAAATTCATTAAATGTGATTATCGTTGCATTTAAAATGCTTTTTTTTTTTACAAAAAAAAAATATATTTATAAAAACAACTTCACCAGATATATTACATCATATATAACTGGTTCCACGTGTTTGCGCGGAACTGCTTCCAGTTGATGGTAAATCAGTATGTTTGGGAAAAAAACTTCAGGTGGAGAAAAAGCTAGAGAATGGGGAAATGCAAATTATAACTCAAGTGTCTGGAAAATGAGGAATTCGGGATATGGCTGCAGCCTGTCGACTGGATTTTGCGGTGTTTGTATATACACTATATTGCCAAAAGTATTTGCTCACCCATCCAAATTATTGGAATCAGGTGTTCCAATCACTTCCATGGCCACAGGTGTATAAATTCAAGCACCTAGGCATGCAGACTGTTTTTACAAACATTTGTGAAAGAATGGGTCGCTCTCAGGAGCTCAGTGAATTCCAGCGTGGAACTGTGATAGGATGCCACCTGTGCAACAAATCCAGTCGTGAAATTTCCTCGCTCCTAAATATTCCACAGTCAACTGTCAGCTGTATTATAAGAAAATGGAAGTGTTTGGGAACGACAGCAACTCAGCCACGAAGAGGTAGGCCACGTAAACTGACGGAGCGGGGTCAGCGGATGCTGACGCGCATAGTGCGAAGAGGTCGCCAACTTTCTGCAGAGTCAATCACTACAGACCTCCAAACTTCATGTGGCCTTCAGATTAGCTCAAGAACAGTGCGCAGAGAGCTTCATGGAATGGGTTTCCATGGTCGAGCAGCTGCATCCAAGCCATACATCACCAAGTGCAATGCAAAGCGTCGGATGCGGTGGTGTAAAGCACGCCGCCACTGGACTCTAGAGCAGTGGAGACGCGTTCTCTGGAGTGACGAATCGCGCTTCTCCATCTGGCAATCTGATGGACGGGTCTGGGTTTGGCGGTTGCCAGGAGAACGGTACTTGTCTGACTGCATTGTGCCAAGTGTAAAGTTTGGTGGAGGGGGGATTATGGTGTGAGGTTGTTTTTCAGGAGCTGGGCTTGGCCCCTTAGTTCCAGTGAAAGGAACTCTGAATGCTTCAGCATACCAAGACATTTTGGACAATTCCATGCTCCCAACTTTGTGGGAACAGTTTGGAGCTGGCCCCTTCCTCTTCCAACATGACTGTGCACCAGTGCACAAAGCAAGGTCCATAAAGACATGGATGACAGAGTCTGGTGTGGATGAACTTGACTGGCCTGCACAGAGTCCTGACCTCAACCCGATAGAACACCTTTGGGATGAATTAGAGCGGAGACTGAGAGCCAGGCCTTCTCGTCCAACATCAGTGTGCGACCTCACAAATGCGCTTCTGGAAGAATGGTCAAAAATTCCCATAAACACACTCCTAAACCTTGTGGACAGCCTTCCCAGAAGAGTTGAAGCTGTTCTAGCTGCAAAGGGTGGACCGACGTCATATTGAACCCTATGGATTAGGAACGGGATGTCACTTAAGCTCATATGTGAGTCAAGGCAGGTGAGCAAATACTTTTGGCAATATAGTGTATGTATATATATATATATGTATGTATATATATGTATATATATATATATGTATGTATATATATATATGTATATATATAAAAAGCATAAAATTATTGGTGAATTTACTTGACAGAGTCGGCTTTAGGGAAGTGGATACGATAAACAGTAGTCTAATCAGGGCTTACAGATGCAGGAAACAACAACAGGAGTTGACGTTCATAACACAGCTAAGCAGAATCATGACTGGAAATCATGTGGCACGGGAGGGAAGCTAGTATTTTTATGATTGAGATTTTATGATTATGGAGGCTAACTATCAGGAGATCACGCGGTCTGCTCATGCATTCTTTGTTGTCTGAGAACCGAACCTCAACAGAATCGCGTGCCGAGCCCTACTGATGAAGTAGTACCAGTTTAGCACAGTTTGGTTGTGTCTGGCACGGTCCGGTTTAGTTTTGCGTGCTATTTACACTCAACAGTTATCTTGGTTACCATGCTTGGACTGATCTTGGCACCGTTTCTAAAGGAGTAGTGTAAATGTGGCTTTAGTTTATTCTTGCCTTCTGTGTATATTTTATAATATTATTTACAGCTAGAATCAAATTGTTTCAGTCATAGCATCTTGATTCATATGTCACAGCTAATATACGCAACGGTTGAAGTAAGAAATAAGAATAATTTCCTTTCCCATTGAGTTCCGTCCCAGTTTTCACAGGGATGGACGTCTGTGTCTTCGGCAGGCGTAGAGCTAACAGAACTGGCAGCGTTGCGAGGCAAGGGCTCAAACATGTACGGCTGTAAGCCTTCTACACCAAACCAAGCTTCTGCCGCCCTGGCGTCCTCTTCCACAACATCTTCGTCCCCGCTTTCCTCCTCTACATAAAAAATGTATGATGGAGAAGACTCATCCACGACCTCCGAGACAAAACTCTCCTCCTCTTGCATGTTTCCGCAGTCCATAGCGTTCCTTGACAGTGTTGTTTCTAAGTCACCAATTTAGTGCTAATAGGTTCCCAATGGAATTTCCCATTGGGAACCTACTAGCACTAAGTTGCTAACTGGTTAGCAATGATGCTTCCGAGACATCGGCCACAACCAAACTTGCTTGCGAACCTTCCACCGCAACAATCCCACCCTGTTGATAAACAACCAATCACATTCACTATATTCACTCGTGTAAAGTCGGCCACCACTCAGGAGAATTCGGAACTGCAACGGTTGGAACAGCCGTTTACCTACGACTTTAAAGAAATGAACCGATATGGAAAAAAAAACCTCTAAATATCGCAAGACCATTTTTTAGTTATAATGAAACCAGAAATAATTGCAAAGACGCACTAAGGTAAAGTAAAACACCTTGTGGATCATGACACCAACTTTAATTGAGGGGTTAGATGTAGCAGTGATGGAGTAATGGTCTGTTTAATGGGGAGAAAAAGGCAAGGACGTGCAAAATAAATGTATAAGAACCACATAAAAAGATTCTGAAATCCTTGATGCTGTTTTTTCTGTTCAAGGTTCAGAAATAATTTTTTCTTACCCATCTTCAGGTGGTACCATGGACACCTCTCTGGTAGAGATGCAGAAAAACTCCTCACAGAAAAAGGCAAAGCTGGCAGCTTTCTGGTACGGGAGAGTCAGAGTAAACCCGGAGACTTTGTCCTGTCAGTTCTCACCAATGAGGAGAAACACGACAACCTTGACCGTAAAACCAAAGTCACCCACGTTATGATTCGCTACCAGGTGAGATCAATTGTTTTGGACATTTAGAGGGATTGGGATTGCTGATACAATGTGTTTTACAATGCCTGAGAATATCTTCTAATATTATTGGTGTCGTATTGTTTGATTTAATCAATTATTAATGTTTGCTCTCTGCAGGAAGGGAAGTATGACGTGGGAGGGGGTGAACGATTCGACACTTTGGCCGATCTGGTGGAACACTACAAGAAGAACCCCATGGTGGAAAAAAGCGGCATCGTCGTCCACCTCAAGCAGGTGACACAGAGGTTTAGAAACCCAGCCATGTTCTCTGGTGTCCTGTAGCGACCAGTTTCCAATCGTTTGTGCTTCTCTTTGACTTTGACAGCCTTTTAACGCCACAAGGATAAACGCGGCTAACATTGAGAACCGGGTACGAGAACTCAACAAAGTGGCAGACAATTCAGAGAAGCCAAAGCAAGGATTCTGGGAGGAATTTGAGGTGAGTATAGGACGGTCGTTTTCATTATTCTATGTTAAGTATCATGGCTGAGTTAAGCACCAGTCAACATTGTGTTAAGAATACCCCTTTTCCCATTGGCTGAAAAACCCATTTAAACCCTTGAACAATGGGCTTTTAGCGGCAGTGGGAACAGCTCACTGATGCGTGTTTACCCGGGTCCAACGATTCAGAAAGGAACCCGCGTTAAAATCACCTCAACTTTTAGTTGAGTTTAACAAAAAAAAGTTTAACATTTTATACAGAATATGAGATATTTATACAATTAAATCTATGACAATGCAAAATAACAATTTTAAAAAGATATAGAAAGGTTTTGTCATGGCCTTAGTTATGGCTTATAAAACAATAAGAAAGAATGCAGACTGGACACTTGACAAGGTGACTCTTCACAGACCTAAATCCCATTTAATGGAAAGTTTAGTGGAAGAGAAGTGCCAGAAAATGGTTCACAGGCAACAGAGATACCCACAGAGCAAAGAGCTGGAGTTTGTGCTTCAAACGCTATGACTCCAGGAGGGCCTCTCATCCTTTGAGTTGTCTTCCTGCTAAATGACTCAGGTGAAATGTCAGGGCTAGTGTCTTAATGCAGGTTTTGGTCGGGCGTTTGCAAAAACTTCTTGTGAAACACATAAAAGCTTGTTTTAATTACATGTCTCTAAACAAGATTTTTTCAAGACTATTTTACTTATCAAGGTTTTTAATTTGTATTGTCTTGAAACAAGTTAGTTTATCTCACTTAAATGTATCTCCCTAGATGGTTGATAAGATTTTGTGTTTTTCCGGTGAAAACGTTCAGCTTATAGTGCCTACTGGCATTATACTCATTACACTAAATTACATTAAATTTAAATCTAAATAGCTCATTTTATACTTAATTTTGTTGAATTTTGTTGAATTGAGGAGCTAAGTGAGACACTTTGCCAATAAAACAAGACAATTTTTATTTATTATAAGAAAAAAAACTAAGGAGCTAAATCAGTCTCAATTTTCACAATTTTCCTACATGCACAGGACAAGCTCCACACACATACAGCACGACTCACACAAGCATACAAGATTCACACATGCACAGCACATGATTCGCCAAAGTATTTCAGGTCCATAAACAATTATAAATTTAATTACAAAGTACCAGTGGTCTTTAAACTTCACTGCATTTGTGTGTGGATTTTTGAGGTCCTCCTGACATGCCTCGATACACAAATGCATTTTTTTAAAGGATGGTTTGCAACCAAACACAGAGCTCCCTTGTATAAGTCAATAACAAGAAACTACTCTACATGGGATGACTACTGTATTTGCTCCGCTCCAGTCTGTCATTCTCTCGGCTCAGGATAGTGCGTCTGGCCAGCATAACCTTAGTAATACGCATTGCATAGAGTTTCCTCTATGTCTGCACTCCTTACATCCAATCACACTGTTTTATTTCGCAATTTAGTTGTTTTTGTCGTAGTTTATGCATAAAACAACAACAACAAAAATCATTCACTAGGTTCTTTACACACACATTAGGTTTAAAAACAAACATTGCATGTCCGTTAAATGAGGATCTTATTAAAGAACGGCATTTTTTCACAGAGAATTAAATATTTTTAGGGAGAGGACTCTACAACCCAGTTGACAGGATATGAGATTTATGTTTTTAGTTTGTTTTATATGATAGACATGAAGATCATTTTGTTTTTATTTATTTATTTTTACAGCACATGAAGAACTACTAAAACTATTTTCAGATTAAACCTAAATAAATTTATTAATTCTGCACGGGGACAGGAATGACTTTAGATTTCGGATTAGGATTCACTCAGTGATAACAGCCTACTGAGCCTACTGGTACAATCTAAAGCCATTCTTTGGGACTGATAACCTTAATAACTAAATGAAAACAGGTAAACATTTAAAATGCATCAGATTTAGTTATTAACAAATATATAAAACACTTTTTTTATGTAACTATTGAAACAATTGTCACTGGAATTCATTTTGATGAACAAATACTCTTTATTTCTGGGTTTTCACATACTGATAAAGTTACTAAAAGGTTTATTTCTGCTTTCTGTGGAGCCGACTGTAAATAAAGGAGCTCATGATTACACAAGCAGAATTCATAGATGCTCAGCGTATGTCTCTCCAGGGTGACCTCTGCTGTAATAAAAGCCCATTACACCATTTTACAGCAAGCATAATTTAGAGCGTTCTAGTTACATAAATGTCTTTGGAAATGTCAGTGGAGCATTTTCATGTTCAAGACTCCCTGGATCTCTTTAATATGCCATCATGGTAGTGAAAGTCCTAATTTATTTCCTTTTTCTTCTTCTTTCCACTCTACAGGTACTTCAGCAGCAAGAGTGCAAACTGCTGTATCCCCGGAAAGAGGGCCAAAAGCCAGAAAACAAGAGCAAAAACAGATACAAGAATATCCTCCCCTGTGAGTCAACGCAGCAACCTGCCATTTCCTGTCTCTCCAACTTCCTGTGGAAAGAATGACACAAACAGACAGCGTAGCAGCCTGGGCAGAGCATAAAGATAGGGTTTTAATAGCCTTCAGCCTATCAGCTGCAATTACGCCTGTGTGCTCTCACAACCGTCTGCTTTTTTCTGGTGTATTCATTTGCTGAACAATGTGTTTACAGTTGACACGACACGAGTTGTGATCAGAGACTCGGACTCAGACGTTCTTGGTTCAGACTACATCAATGCCAACTATATCAGAGTGAGTCTGTCTAAATGGCAGCAAAGGGGCCTAGCTAGGAAGGCCTTAAAGCACAACCCTGCACCTTCCACTGTTAAATACTTCTAGATATTTAGCATGAAATAAAACCTCCCTCTCTGTATTTGTTGTTCATGCAGAATATGAGTGAAGATGGCCGACATGTTGAGGAGAGTAAAGTCTTCATCGCCACCCAGGGATGCCTGCAGAACACGGTGGTTGATTTCTGGAAGATGGTGTATCAGGAGAATGCACACGTCATTGTGATGACGACCAAGGAGATGGAGCGGGGAAGGGTGAGCCGCCTTCATGTCAGAGATGCCTTTTCAAATCCGTGTCATAAAAAGAGAAATATTGGCTTGAATAGATGGGTTTATTTGTGTTCTTTTTTCTGTACATTTTTAATACCCAATCTTAAACATGATGATGCATCTAGTGTTTTCCTATTTAAAGTGCATGCATGTAATCTTTTTTAACCAGTGATTTCTTAAGGTAACAAAGATGATTTTATTTTTTATTTTTTTCAAGTGAGGATGAGGAAATTTTGTGAAGCTCTGTGATCAGTGTCCTGCAGACGTAACAAAGCAGCACCCCACCCTGGGATTTAAATGGACTCTGTGGTCCACCCAGTCCGCCTATTATTAAATAATACTACTAATTTTTCCAATAATTCTTTATACTATTTGAACGAGAACTTCTATCTCTGGTCAGGTTCTGATGAGCTTTGCTGCTCAAAAAAGAATGGATGTGCTCCAGTGACTTACCATCTACTGTTACCCTTGGATACTTCATATTAGCCAGCTATGCAGGCTAATATGAAGTTTGAGGTTTTAGAATAGAATAGAATAGAATAGAAAATTCCTATTTTGTCCCACAAGGGGGAAATTCTGTTTACAGCAGGAAAAAAGGTTATAGAAAAAAACTGCCACACAAATGTGGAGCTTAGAAAAGTTTATTAGAATAACATAATAGTGAAGAGTTAAAAGATAAACAATAAAATTCTGTACTGTAAAGTGTTTTAACGATATAAAACTTTACACCTGGAGAATAAATAACCAATATACAGCTATGGATATTTTTACTGTAATGGATATTTGAAAATAGCAGCAAAATCCGAGATGTGCAAAATGACAGCAGCATGTTATTTAACTGAGATAGAAACTGTACAAAATCAGAATGAATGTAACAACTTGTTGAGGTTGTTGGAAACAGTGGTTATAAAGTCTTCCAGCTGCTTGGAGGAAGAATCTGTGAAGGATCTCCCTGGTGCATTTAGGGTGCAGCAGTCTGTCATTGAAGGAGCTCTCCAGTTTTGCAATAGCTTCATGCTTTATTTGCATGTATCCATGAAATTGTTTTAACAGGGTTCCATCTGACCACCATCTGCAGGTGAACAAATGTTTAAGAAGCTTTTTAAGCAACTGCATTTCAGAAAAAACCCTTAATAGAAATGGTTGAGGGCTGTTTTAATAAAGAATGATAAGGATGTATTTTTTTAATGCTCCCAGTGAATGTTTCACCCTGAGTCTGCCTACATTAAAGCCCTTTAATAGCAATAAATCTTAACCCTGAAAATTACATTTAAAATAATGATGTAGAACTAAATGACGGGATGTAAATGACAAAATACAACCTGTTGATCCCAGAAAATTATAGTATTATTTCAGCTACAGTAATTACCACCAGTGGAAATGATGTAATAATTTAATCCGTGTTCATCACCAGATCTTTATGCAGACAGAGAAGACATAAAAAGTTATAAAGAATATTTTTTTTCCCATTGAGTTTGATTTTCATTCAGTGGTCTGGCTGTCGACTATGCTAAAGGATATCTTGCTGGTTTTCATTCCCTTTAAGCCAAAGTTCTGTTAATAATCTGGGGCCACAAATTGGTTTGAAATGAAAGCCTGTTTTTAAGGGTGAGAAGAAATCAATAAATGTCTCCTTTTCACTTTGGTGAAGCTCACCTCAATTTCTCGCACAGAGTTTTTGGAGAAAGTAGGAAAGCTCATCCAATCCATTTTCTGTGCTGTCAAAAAGCAGACGCACAACTGTTCAAAATATTCTGATTAGAAAGCCTTTTGTTGTCAAACCCAGCCCTAAAAAAGATGATCATTGTGTCTTCAGCCATATATCAGAGCCTTTGAGCTTTAGACACACGAGTTTCCAAATACTTCTTTAGAATGCTGGTTAAAAACACAGTCACTGTGAATTATTTCAGTTTTATACTTTCAAATTGTTCTTACTCAACAACAATCCTATATCCGTCTTTTTGAAGTCATTACTGGAAAGCTTCGACTCCTTCAGTGCTTCAGCTTTTCTGTATCAGCTGCAGGGATGATGTAGATGTGGCGGTGGGGGATGGACAGGAACAAGACTAGCGGGGGGATAACATGACAGATAATCTGCTTGAGATGAGATGTCTCTTCAGATTGTCTCTTACCCAGAAGCCTCTCCCTCTCTCTCTCTCTGCTTTCAGAATAAGTGTGTCCGTTACTGGCCAGACCTTCATGGCACCAAAGAGTTTGGGAAACTTCTGTTGAGGAATGTGGAAGAGCGACCAGCGCAGGACTACATCCTGAGGAAGCTGGAGATGACGCGCCTGGACAGGGTAGGGAAGGTTGGACCCCCCCTCAGTCTAAGGCCGACCCCACCGACCTTTAGTCAGACTATCAAACCAAAACAGCTTCAACACATGTTCCCTCATTTTGTCTTGTTTGCTGAGATAAAGCCAAAAGTGCCAATAAAAGTAGAAATCCTGTCATTTGAAAGAAAAATTGCATCTAAATTTTTTATTTTGCTTGTAGGATTAGACAACCGGCTGATTTATTTATAGCTTTAAAGTCGTAGGGAAGCGGCTGTTCCAACCGTTGCAGTTCCGAATTCTGGTGCACGACTTTACACTAGTGAAAATATGAGTTTGATTGGTTGTTTAGCAAGAGTGCGGGATTTTTGTGGCAGAAGGTTCACAAACACGTTTGCTAACCAGTTAGCAACTTAGTGCTAGTAGGTTCCCAATGGGAAATTCCATTGGGACCAAGTAGCACTAAATTGGTGACTTAGAAACGACACTGTCAAGGAACGCTATGGACAGCGGAAACATGCAAGAGGAGGAGAGTTTAGTGTCTGAGGTTGTGGGTGCGTCTCCTCCGTGTCCTTTCAATGGAGCACTCACAGAGCTCAGAGTATTAAGTTACAAGTTCTCTTTTCTGTTGCCATTGTTCAATAAAAGTATGTTTTAAGATCAATTGAGGTGACAGCATTAAACTTTCAAGCGTCACCTTATGGTCAATTTACCGATTAATTGATAAAAGCATAATTTTTAAAAAATGTCCTGAAGTTGAGAGGACCGCGGCAACTAGCGGAGCTCCGAGGGTAATGGCAGTCAGGTCTGATCCTAGCCCGTCTGCAGCAGCCCTCTCTCTGTATAGCCACGTGTGAAGGACCGCTGGATATGATTGCGATATTTTTGTTTTATTTGGAAAAATGTTAATTTGATTTGTTTTTATCTGACTGTATTAATTATCATTCCCCCACTAAATGAAAAAAGTCAGAGTTTATTATTATTAGAGACTATTAATAACAGAAAAGCAGCTCCACACTAGCCCTGCGTGTGGTGATGTCATCAGTACGGTTTTGTTTAAATTGAGCCCATATTTATGCTACATGCTCCCGTTCTCATCAAGTCCAGACTATTCTGTGTTCTTCCCAAGAACATGCTTGGTGAGGACACGAGTCCTTACTGCCGTTCTTTTGAATTGAGAAACGGCCAACAATTCGCTCTCCAACTATACACCTGTAACGGTCACCACTACTCTGCGAAGATTCTTATTTTAACCATTGCGTATATTAGCTGCGACATAAGAATCAAGATGCTATGACCAAAATAATTGGATTGACAGATGATCGTTGATATATGATTGGCGAAATTTAGGTGTACAAGCAGACGTATAACTAACTGGCCTGCTTAAGATAACGGAAAACAGCCCCACAGATTTTAAGACAGGATTTGCTTATTTTTTTATAGAGACATTTTCTAAATTTTGGGATAATATGGTCTGATAAAGATTACAGTTATATAGATGTTTAAGCAAGAATGATTTGACATTTCATAAAACAGACATTTTAAATGCTAAAATTCAAACGAAAAAAGGAAATTGGAAAAATGTTTTCATGATATTATTTCTTTATTGTTTGATATATTTGAGTTAATTCACACGGGTAAATTAGCAACAACCCACAGGATTATCAGAGCTACAGTCTGCCTCATGTGGATGAACATGTTAACAAAACAAAGAACTGACACCATAAAACCAAAGCTGCCATGTATTCCTAGAGTTCCTGTTCAAGATAAAAGCGTTTCTTTGTTTTCAGGTAGTCTATAGTTACCACAGTGTCTCTGCTTGTAGCTTGCTGTCATGGTGATCAGAAGAAGATGATGATTCAGAAACAAACAGTGAAGATTGAGAGGACCATTAACAGGGTGCCCTAGAACAGAGCTATGTAGAAGTCTTTACTTTTTATACAGATGTGAGTCAATAAAGCAGAAAGTAAATCAAGAGTTAATTTATTTTGAGTAGGAATTTTCTAAAGTGAAGCTCGATTGTTATATAAATACATCACAGCTTTAAAGGTCGTTGTTTGAATCCCAGCCAGTTCTCCCTCTGCATCAGTTGGTTCAGTCCAGGTACTCTGACTTCCTGCTGCAGCTCATCTTTATGCTGCGTTCACACCGGACGCAGCAGGCGCGACAGAAGCAGCGAGTTTACATGCAAAGTCAATGGTTGACGCGCGTCAAGGCACAGTAAAAGGTCCCGCGGCGCGTTTTGAGCAGCAGGCGCAGCACGTCTGAGCAGCTGAAACAGCGCGTCGGGCGCGTTTAAGCATCTGACGCGTGTGACGCGCCGAAAACGCCTTGCTGCTCGAGATGGAAAAATTGAATTTTTGCTGCTCGACGCGCCGCGTCAACCAATCAGAGAATCTGATCTGGGAGCTGGCAGGGAGAGAGACACAGCGCTGATGACACAGACCGCTCTGATCACTCCTCTTAAACAGTTTATTAACGCATAATTAACTTAAAGTGCATACATCTGCCGGCAGAATATGTTGGCTTTTATTATTCTGGTGCCTGCAGATCGGATTATTTAGATGAAAAACACCTACCAGCTGCCGCTGTGAACCGCGAGGAGGCGCCCCGGCCAGAGGCTGCTGTTGAAGGAATTCCTACTGTCGGCGCACGGCCGGTATGTGGGAGGCAGGATTGTAATCTGGATGAACTGACTGCACTGATGAAGTTTTCAGGTGTATTTTCTCACTTAAAAACATATTAAAACTACTTTATTCCCACTGATCACAGCAAATATAGCTGCAAGGCAGAGAAAGGATAGAGTAGCTCCGCCCAATGCGCGTCAGACACACTTTTGCACCGCGCAGCCAGAGCAGCAAAGCTGCTTCAGCCGCGCGTCAGAACTAACTGGTACAAGCAGCAAAAAGGAAGCAGCAGACGCGATTTTGCTGCTTTTGCTGCGTCCGGTGTGAACGTAGCATTATACACGCTGTGTTCAGTTGTCTCTTTAAGTGGTCCTTAGTTATATGTGTTTGCATGCATGGTTGTGTCTAAGGATGAAACTACTGATCAAATTAATCTGGATTAATCAATTATTAAAATAATCACCTAGTGGTTTGAATGAAATTGTTACCTTGATACACAGACTTTAAAATAGTCTTACAGCAGCATTCAAAAAAACTTAAAAAACAATCTACTGGACTTTGTTTCCAAGTTTGAAGACGTTTCGCTTCCCATCCAGGAAGCTTTTACAATTCAAAACTGCAGAAATAGCATTGAGCTCGAGGTTTTATAGAGTGGACCAAAGCAAAGCCTTGTTTTGGCTTAGAAAACTAAAATTAAACCAGATAAATGAGCCCCCCTCTTAGGAAACGGCAGTCGTTTGGGTTCTTTGTTAGCCTGATATACTGTCTGTGTCTCTGAAAGGGGGGTCATTAGAGGGAATCGTTGGCCTGGCTGAACAGGCGAGATGTTATATTCACCTCTATGGGGGGTGGTAAATTGTGTTTTAATTACCACTGTAACTTGACAAAAAATATTTAAAAAAAATCATTTAAGTTAAAAAAAAAATGATTTTATTTATATTGTTACATGTGTATGTGAATATATTGTAATTTTTTTGCCTCTTTTTATCATTGATGATTCATTAAAATTGTGCAGTGACCCAGAGAGTCCATGTTATTTTAGAAACTAGGGATATCCCGACCGAACATTGATATCAGAAATCAGTACAACATCAGAATAAATCAGCCGGCCTCTAAAATCTCCAGTATTAGAAAGCACACGTCGCCTATATACACTATTTTTTTTAAGTTCATGTAAAGTTTTGGTCAGTTAGAAATGGGTCAGATGTTCTCTTATCTGAGGCTTTTAATTATTTTTCGAGAAAAATCACTCAATCAAGCCTTTTCTATCATTCCACAACTTAAACTAAGTAATAAAAGTATGTATTATTTATGCTGATGTTGTATCGGGTCAATATCGTATCATATCAAAAGTTAAAGAGTTGTATCGGGACGTGTACAACTTTTTGGATGTTAATCAATGCAGAGGTTTTCAACCCCTAGGGGATTCATAGAGATACTGCATGGGGGTCACAAAAGTTTTGGTTGATTAAAATTTCTTTTTATATTTCCTACTGCAATTTTTTCCACTAATTTAAATGTCTTTAAATAACCATTAACATTAATTCTACACACTGTAGTAAACAGATAAATGGAGGCAGAAGATGTCTTTCAGTCATCAATGCACACATTCAGAGACACACAGGAGCTCTTTTAAGCTGGGCACCGTTTCATTCACAACACCTGTCCCATCAACCAGGAATCTGAATCAAGAATACTTTAATAATCCCAGGGAGAAAATACTTTCATTACATGACTCCATCTGTAATGTAGTGACTATAGGACCAGTTTGATAGAACACAATTTCACACAATATACTAATTAGGGGGTCCCCGCTCCATCTCGCCATCAGTTTGGGGGTCCTTGGCCTGGAAAACATTGAAGACCCCTGAATTAATGGATTAATCGAAAAAACAATGGTTAGATTAATCAATCAGTCACTAAAAGAATTGATAGCTGCAGCTCTACATTTTGAAATAAATGGATAGACACATTAGATAGATGCACATGGCGAACAGCTGATGACAGGCCACATTTCAGGGCATTTTATATGGAACCCGTTTTACCTTTTAACCTTTAATCACTGTCCTGGATTAAACACCAGCTCTACTGCAAAATCAATTTGTCTTTATGTAGATTTTTCTACAGATATATTTTAAACTAATCAATCTTACTATTTTAAACATGATGTGTATGAGATTTAAACATTTACCCTTTAATATTTACTAATTCTGTCTTTATTTCCTTACATGAAAACAGTTTATTTTATTTAGACATTAATCCATTATTTGATTATTATTATGGCTGTTTCAAACATATCAGATGCTAACATTTTATAATATTTGATTTTAAAATTCTAAGCAATCCAAACTTTTGCTCTATTTACATAATATTTACATAATATGAATCCAGCTTGATCAAAGAATCATAGAGAAACATCAACTCTGATAATGATGGTTGGATGCTGTGATTTCTGCACTTAGGGAATCACCATGTTTCCTTTTTAATATTTGGTTACCTCATTTTTTATAACAGATTTACCTAAAGTATTTGTTTCGTTCAGAGCATGAAGAACTGATTGTGAATATGTTTGATGAGAAGGAATGATTCTTGGGTTTACTTTCTGTTTTTGTGTTGACAGGACTAAATATGTACAGAAAGATACATATTTATGATAAATACAAATGAAACAAAGGCTAGACAGAAATTTGTGCAGATTTAGAGTGTGATTACTACAATTTTCTGTAGAATTAATGTCTTTGACAAAAAAAAGAATGTTTGTTTTCTACTAAACGATGTAAACATAACAGAAGGGGAGATGGAGCACAAGTTGATAATTTTCTTTCATGCCTTTCTTGCCTGCAGAAAGAGCCTCAGAGGTTCATCTGGCACTTTCAGTACCTGAGCTGGCCTGACCACGGGGTGCCAAACGAGCCCGGCGGCGTCCTCTGGTTCCTGGAGGAAGTCAACCGCACACAGAGCACTATGAAAGATGCCGGACCCATCATTGTCCACTGCAGGTACAGAAAGCAGGAAGTATTGCAACAATTAGAAAGTCAAGTAGGAATCAACCGATGTCAGGAGGAACAGAAGAGGAAAGAAGCTAACAGCTAAACTGCTTTCTCATCCAATCTGCAGTCATTGCTTCTTAGTGTAAAGTGAAACTGTTGTGATGCATGAGGAAATGTTTAAGCAGGCATGAAGCCACTTCTTGCTCTAAATAACTGGAGAAGCAGGTGGTTAGAAAACACCTGAGATGTGAGGCTGTGCCAGCGAGACGTTTGCAGCGCTGCATCAATACAACCATCTAGATGGAGCATCGTAAAACACACATGACTGCTTTTTACTGTTCATCATGAAGTGAATTTAAAGACTCAAAACATACAAGGTAAATTACCTTTGCTGCAGTGAAACTGAAGGCGAGAATCAGAGCTGAACGACCTGTTCCGAGTCTGATAGACAGCTGGTGCTGCTCCTCACGTGCTGCAGCCGGTCCTCCAGTACAGGGGGACCTTTGGAGCCAAATGTTTCCATGAAGGGACTCAAACAGGCTTGCTGGCTAAATGTGGAATCGCTTTCCAGCTCTGAGCCAAATCACACAGCTAAGACGTCCCCGGAGTGGCTTCCGCTCATAGTTTCACTCCCCCCCCCAAAAAATGTCCAGCCAAAAAAGCAGACTTCACGAGCACTTCAACATCTTTGCAGATAGCTGTGAGCACATGTCTTTTCCTTTAATACTGAGGGGAATGGGACAAACTGTGCAGCTTGATTCCCAAGAGTCCAAATAGCCAACTAGTGCTTCAATATCAGGGGATGATTCTTCAAAATTATTAACTCTAGAAACAAAAACACCCATCAGCTTTTTTCTCTTTTTTTCTGACAGGATAGATTCACCATTCAAGCTACTTTTGTGGGATTTTAAGCAATGGAGCAATGCAAATTTTAAATGTAAGGGAAATAATTTACCTTAATTGTTTGACGGAAGTGTGACAAGAAGGAAGATTCCTAGGAGGAAGCGGATCTGATCAGATCAAACAGCAGCCAAAGCTTTTGACCTACATGCACAGAATATTAACGCTGCACCCTGAACCCATGGTTAAACACGGTGGAGGTAGCATAGTGCTGTGTAGGGTATGACCTCAAATTATTATCAAGATAAATTGGGAAGTTTTACCTCAATAATGAAAAATGTAGGATAAATGCTCCTCTATCAGAAATAAAGTCATGAGCAGGAAATGTAACTTATCTATTTATAATTTACTTATTCAATAAATCAAATTACATATAACTTTCAATTAAATATTAAAGTCTTGTATCCATTCAGGCTTGAACATAAAAAAAATGTCTCATTGAACAGGAGTAAAATGTTTCCTTTTTGGCAAACATTTTTGTGCGAAGGTGATGGAGCCTTTTGCACATCTTGGTACTCAACAGCGTAGCTGTGCTGCAGGTGGTGGAGGTTGGATGTGTTACCTCACAGTTCTTGTAAATTTGTTTACAGCTGTGTTAGACGCTTCTTCACTGGACTCATCCGCCATTCTCTGTGTTTACACTGTTGGTCTAGTGTGTTAGAGCAGTGCGCTTGTGCTCTGAGAAGGTTGCAAGTACCAGGTTTGATCCCCACAGCCTGCACTGTTGTTCTCTGAGAAAGACCCTTAACCCCTACACTGCTCCCCGGGCGCTGCACAGTGGCAATCCACTGCTCCCCAAGTGGATGGGTTAAATGGAGAGAGTTAATTTCTCCATTGTGGGATCAATAAGGTTCAATTTCTATCCTTAACCACATGCTGTAGTGTTTTAAAGGGGAAGGAAATACCAGCCACCAGCAAAACACAGGAAAATGGTAGAATTATTTATCAACTAATTTAACGAATTTACCCACATGTGGAAATTTGCGCCATTTATCATAGTGCTGCAGGAATTTTCTTATTCCAAAAGTGGGAAGCAGGTCACAGTTGATGCGGTGGAGATAAATACAGAAAAATTTGTTATTGAAGATCTTTCCAAAAATATATCATGAAATATATAAATGTAATGAAAAATACTAAATAGATTTCATGTATTCAAAATATGATTCAAATACCAAGTGCTTCTTTGAATTTAAAAATGTACAATTAGATAATTAAATGTCTGATAAAATAAATAAAAAACATTTCAAATGATAAATTGTGATTTTCAAAAAATAAATGTATTAAAAAATGATTCTAATTACTTAGCTTTATGCATTTAACATGTAATCTAGAGTGAAGTACTAAGTGAATGTGTCCTTTTAGAGGATCACCGGTCTGTTATGTTGTTGTTTTGGGGGTTAAAGCCGAAATGTTTGCAGGCCTTATGTGAGAGGATGTAAAAGACGGAAGCTCCCGATCATCCAGCAACAGTTACAGCTGATCCAACTGGCTGATATTTAAAAGCATAATCATGCAATTAAGAAACTTTAGGAGGACTTGGCAACCAATTTCATCCTCACAAACACCTTTTGTTGATCTCTTTGAGCTTCAGCTGTTTTAGTTTTTTGCAGAAAAGAAGCTTCAGCTTGGTTTTATTTTGTTTTCTAATCTATTATAGAGCAGCTTAAATCGTAGAAAAAGCTGTAAGTCGGCAAAGTTTTCTTCAGAGGGACTAAATGCAAAAAAACCAGAAGTTTACAGGTTCTTTTGGTAAACAAATTAAAAGCCATCTGTCATATCTTTGCTTTGCATATCCCTGATTAGTCATATCCAAATCCTGATAAAATTACGTTTGCAGTCATAACAAATCATAAAAAGGATGTTAATAATTTTTTACACAGATGTTAAAACATAAAGATGATTTTATCCGTGTTTACAGTGAATAAACCCAGATGGTTTGACTTATTGTAATTTTTTTTTTACACAGTATTGGCTTGATGAAAACCCTCAGCTTATTTTTTTTTTTCTTTCTATCATTATGTTTAAATGTGACTTTCAGCGGTGGTCTCTCTTTCTCTCTTTCTTTTGCAAAGCATTTAACCTCATATTACTAGAAATTCTTAGAATTATATTAAAAAAATCAAAGTAACCACCGGGGTGTGCTCAACATTTAGATCTGGGGTGGGCAATTCCAGTTCCTGAGGGCCGGTATCCTGCCATTTTAGATTAACCATTAGTTCAAAGCACCTGAATCCAATGACTGAACTACCTACTTAGTACGCTATCGATCTATCTATCTATCTATCTATCTATCTATCTATCTATCTATCTATCTATCTATCTATCTATCTATCTATCTATCTATCTATCTATCTATCTATCTATCTATCTATCTATCTATCCATCCATCCATCCATCCATCCATCCATCCATCCATCCATCCATCCATCCATCCATCCATCCATCCATCCATCCATCCATCCATCCATCCATCCATCCATCCATCCATCCATCCATCCATCCATCCATCCATGATTTAGATCAGACTTAGACTCTTTCATTTATAATTGAATCAAACATCATCAGCTTTTTAAATAGATACTGGGTTATTTTTAGATTTCCTCCTTTTCTGCGTGACTCGTCTGCATTTCCATCTCCTCTGACTGTTGGTCATAACAGATGGAAAGGTTCACTTTTAGCTAACGCCTTCTGGTTTTCATCAACCAAAAATGGGTTCAGAGAAATAAGTCTGTTGAACTGATATGAAAATGTTTGTTTGTTCAGATTGAGTGCAAAAAAAAAATTGGCATTAAGAATATTAGATTTAATTGCACCTCTGGCTTCATTTCTAAAATTATTTTTTATTACTTTATAACTTGTTCTTTATCTTGCTCTAATGTTTGCATGGGTGATTGATAAAACAGACCTAAGGCAACAAAAAATAAACATCAGATAATTAATTATTTATTTTGTTTAAATACAACTGTGACACAATTGAAAATATGATAAATAATTATGATCTTAAATGCTTTCTTATATTGTATTTTTTTTTCTCCTGCCATCTGTCAGTGTGTAGAAAAGAGTCCAAGAGTCCTTGAATGTGATTGGCTGACGTTCATAGACCTAGAGCACAGCCTCGATGGCGTACGACCAAAGTCCAAAATAGCCTGTGTTGGATGGCGAACGTGCCGAGATGCAGCCAGAGATTCTGTCTGACCCGGTTCTGTTCTGTCTCACTTTAACGTTTGGCTTAAAGGCTGCAGTTGATCCCCATCCACTTTGGCTCTCCACATGATCCCCTGTAGCCTTCCTAATATTCACATTTGTGTTGTTCACATACCTGATTCTATACTTATTATATCAGTTTACAAATATAATTAAAAATCAAAGCTGTAGCACAGTTGGACCTTTGATTCATTCACTAACAGATTCTGTTTTGTGACTCTGACTCAACAGATCCGATTCAATCCCTTCCCTCTCATGACAGGATGGCTGTGAAATAAATGTTTACATTCAACAATGTAGATGAATTATTGTGCCAAAATGAAACCTGACGTTTTCTCATCTTCTCAGGGTGACACAGATGCTTCATTTCTTCAGCTTTAAAATCATTTTGAACATCTTCTCCATCTCTGCAGCGCGGGCATCGGCAGAACCGGCACCATCATCGTCATCGACATCCTCATTGACATTATTAACCGCCAAGGTAGGCGGGAATCAGATAAGATCCTCCTCTTTCTCTTGGGTGTCTGTTTATCTCTAGATCTCTGTTATCAGGTCTGGACTGCGACATCGACATCCCTAAGACCATCCAGATGGTACGGCAGCAGAGATCCGGCATGGTGCAAACAGAGGCCCAGTATAAGTTCATCTACATGGCCGTGCAGCAGTATATAGACACCGCTCAGAAGAGACTAGAGGAGGAGCAGGTACTGCTGAGACATCTTGGCTTATGGACACTAAAACATTAGCATCCAGAGTATGTTGGCTTTTAGTGTGAATTTGTTTTCCTTTTTTCTACCTGTTTTTTCCAGAGAAATAAAATGAAGGAGAGAGAATATTCAAATATCAAGTATCCTCAGATAACCAACTCGAGGTCTAAGCACAACATGACATCATCCCGCTCCTCTTCAGTGTGCGTATTAACATCAACGCCAATGGATCATAGAGCCAGAGTAATAAATGTGTGAGCAGTAGATATCTTAACGTGTGTTTTTTTCCTCCTTCTTAGAATGACTAATGATGATTCTTCCAGCGTGTACGAGAATATAAACTTCCGAACCCCTCAGACGTCTGTCAGCAGTAACACCAGGAGATAAGATTGCTGCTGTGGGCTTTGCTTTTCTCTCTTATCTGCCTCCTGGTAAGAAAAGCTGCAACTGGTTTTTGTATACCTTTACACCAAAAAAAAAAAGAAAGTTAAAAATAATCCACTGGCGTTTGTTTCCGAGTTTGAAGACGTTTCGCTTCCCATCCAGGAAGCTTTTTCAACTCAAAATGTCAGGAATAGAGTTGAGTTTGAGGTTTTATAAAGAAACTCCACAAAGCCTTGTTTTTGTTTGGAAAACATGCAAACAGTTCCAGCTTTCAAAAACCTAAAATGCAGCCATTGCTGTTATCATCGCAGCCCCAGCCCCTGCACAGGAGAGCGGAGGACCTCGTCTGTTCACCCCAACCAATAATTCCCTTTGACGACCAACCTTTCAGACACTTAGATGGGTATGGGGTATTACAGTCTAACAAAAGACGCCAAACGACGGCCATTCCAAAGGGGTGGAGCTCTTCATCAGTTCCAATTTGCATGTTTTCAAAACAAAAACAAGGCTTTGTTGGGCTACTCTATAAATCCTCAAACTCAATGTTATTTCTGACATTTTGAATTGAAAAAACTGCCTGGATGGGAAGAGAAACATCTTCAAACTTGGAAACAAAGTCCAGTGGATTCTTTTTTTGGAATGACTATGGATGACTGAGAACCTTCACCAGCATATATACGTTTACCTGCAGCCCACTTATGAAACAAGCTCCAGGTTTCAGTCCGGTTCTGTGTAAAACAGCTGCAATTGCGTGATACTTGAAAAAGAAATACGTTTTTATAGACACAAAGATAGAGCTTATGGGTGAAAATAAAATAAAAGCTAAAGCTTTGGATTATTTAAAGCTTGATATTTCTTTTTCTTTTTTTGTTTCTCTAAAATGCCTCCCAAGTGCAGTCCTGGGTTCCCAAAGTGAGGGTCGGGGCCCCTCGAGGGTCACCAGATGGTTTCACAATCCTCCTCATGGGATTCCTGAAGTGTAGCATGAAATACATAAATGTAGCATGAAAAAGGAAGATGTAACTTTAATTTTTTGATCAAATACATTATTACAAACATCAGAAATGTACAATTAACTTGCAAAATCCAAAATTTATGAAATCTCAAATTAATTATCTGGAAATCAATTTAAGATGAAGTATTTATTAATTACATGCCCTTTTAAATTATTACAAATATATTTAAAATTATTTATGTTGATAACTAAATGTCATTGACATTTATTTATTGTGTCATTAGATATTCCCATTAGATATTTATAAATATATTTAAATTTTGAAATAAATTATTAATTGTCCATTTAATTAGTTCAAAATATCTATTGCTGTTAGACAATGGATATTGCCATAAGATATTTATAAATATATATAAATTATGAAATAAATAATTAATTGTCCATTTAATTAGTTAAAATATATTTTATTGTAATTTAAGTTATTAAATCTCCTAATAAATTATATGTAAAGCCATATGAAATTATAAATTGAATTTAATTAAAAATGTCATTCAGTTAATTAAAAAATTAGTCATAATTACATCATTGTATATGTATAAATAAATAAAGAGTAAAGTAATTGTAAGTAGTTTTAGTGGGTTATCCAGTTTGTGGTTTTGTGTGAAATGTTTGGGATCCCCTGATCTGGAATGTTGAAGAAAGCATCAGTGTCGCCAAACCTGAGACACCTCTCAGCCATTTTACCTCGCTCTGTCTGGTGATGTCATCATATATTTTGTAGAAACGTGCAGTTTTTCTCCCCACTTTTCCCACATTTCTCCAATTAATAAAGACGTATTACAGATTAGGCTGTATGATGCTTTAGTAACATTCTCCTAAATGATACCTTTGCACAAAATGTAAAGGAGCCTAAACAATATTTGAATGTTATTATCAATCAGTCAGCATCGCGGTTTATACAAATCTAAATGCTGATGTCGGATAAAACTTTCTTAGTGTTTTTTTTTATAAAGGGTCTTTGTTAAATCAGGTTTTTGTTTCTGTCGTCTCTTTGTGTGCAGCTTCAGCAGAGGTGTTGCTTGGCCAGAGTCTGTAGAAACCCCTCTTGGAGTAAAGGAAGGTTGCATTGATGGACCCTGGCCTGGCCTGAAGGTGGGGAGCTGACTCCTCTCCTGCTGCCGTGCTGCTGCTGGACCCCCCAGGCTGCACTCTGACCCCATCCTATGCAACAGACAGAATGATGCCCCCGTCCCGGGGTCCCTTCACCCTCACACCTCTCTTTGACCCTTCAAACACACCCTGACTCAAACTACTCAAGTGCCTTGTGACAGGATGTGTCTGTAATCCACAGCCAGATGTTTCATCTCCTATCTTGTTGTTTTCAGATCCAGGAAGCTAATGCTAACCTGCTAAACAGGCGCTTGTTTGGTGCGACGGAAATTAGGCGCCGGTTCTGCTGACAAAGCTCCACAGGACCGTTGTGGAGGTCAGGGCTGAGTGTCCTAAAAAATCCTTCCTCCTCAGTCTTTCTTTGCTGCCGTTCGAACTTGAACCTTGCTCTGTTTTCGCTCCGTCTCTCCCGCTGTGGGAGTTTATTAAAGCCGACGCTGAGTGATGAAAAGGGGCGGTTACGTAACCTGCTACAGGGTCCTGAGGCTCAGGAAGGGCACACAAGCCCACCCTTCTTATTCTTATAAAAGTACTGATTAAATTCTGGATGTGAAAATGATTTTAGGTCTAAAGTGACTGAAGATGTTGTTTTTAATCCCTGTTGTTGTAAATGTTCCTGTTCCCGGGCATCCTGGGATGGTTTTCCACTAAGAACCGGTGACTCTTAGGAGCACCTTTCTCTGTCCGTGATTATTAAGCTAGGCTCCCTTTAAAAAACAAATTATTCAATTAGATGTTTATTTTATTCCTTCTTCAAGTACTTTAAGATGTCATTGTGCACGATTTTGGTTTAACGGGTTTTTATTTTAATATATCTGGGATAAGAAGATTTCTAAGACGAGCACTGACCTCAGTACTGATGTTTCCTGGAGTCCTTATTTCACTATAAAATCACAGAGAGAGGAAATTCTGAATGGACATGGTGATTGAACTGTGTCCTCAGTGAGCTGCACGTCTGCAGCAGTTCAACATCTGTCAGACGGGATTGTCACAAGGAGACGAGGAAAAGGGGCTGATTGCAGTGGGCCAGATGGCCATCTGCCTGAGATTAAAGAATAGATTTGTCTCCAAAAAGTAATTTAGAAGACGGCCGTAATCCAGGTTTGCCGACAGCCGGGCGTGTAAACCGACGTCATTTGTGGGATAAGTAGACTGGAGGCGTAGTGGGACGACTGTGTACGTTCCTGGCAGATTATTGGCTATTTTTATCAACAACAATCTAAATTAACTTGATCTGATATAAGAGTGAACTCCTTCTTTAGCCACATTTTTAAAACCGTTGTTATGACGTTCCACTACTTACACATCTTTATCTTTCCTGTTAAAAGCTAAAATGTTAAAAGGAGGTTATATGACGGATAAAAAAAGTGGTGCTTACAGTAGTAGTCATTCAAAATTTCCTTACTTTCTTTGATGGACCCTTGGCTGGTCCCCTACAGTTCCTTTTTTAAACCTCAATTTATTTGCTAAAATATTCTTTCTGTCATGATTTGTGGACATTAAGATCTAGAGTAGCGGCATCTCCTTGTCAGGCCCTGTAATTAAGAGAAATTGTGGAGTCAGAGTAAAAAAATATGCAAGAGGGGGGTCACTCCAGTGGCTGGAGGGGATTTGGCTGGGAGTTGCACGGAGGTGGGCTGCGATTAGGCTGGCGTTTAACTGGGAAGGGCCATTTTGAATGGCTGCTACTGTAGGTGTTGAATGGAAGGAAAAAAAGTAAAAAAAACGTAAAAGCTACAGTAGTAGTGCACATGATCCCAATAAATGAAATCCATCACAACCAATCCCTCCATAACATGGCTGCCTCCCTCAATAAGCAGGGAGATAAACAGGTGTTCATCAGAGACACAGCCAAGAGAGGTGAAAGGAACCACAGCTCAGGTCAGGGAACCTGTTTAAAAGTCAGACAGGGCGATGTCTTAAAATCTGTGGGTTTTTTTTTTTTTTTTATGCAGGCCAGTTAGTTATACGTCAGCTTGTACACCTAAATTCATCCAATCATATATCAACGCTCATCTGTCAATCATATTTTTTCAGTCATAGCATCTTGAATCATATGTCGCAGCTAAAAAACGAAAAGGTTAAAAATCAGAATCATTTACTTTACTGTTGAGTTCCGTCCCAGTGTTCACAGGGATGGACGTCTGTGTCTTCAGCAGGCGTAGAGCTAACAGAACTGGCAGCGTTGCGAGGCAAGGGCTCAAACATGTACGGCTGTAAGCCTTCTACACCAAACCAAGCTTCTGCCGCCCTGGCATCCTCTTCCACAACATCTTCATCCCGCTTTCCTCCTCTAAAATGTATGATGGACGAGACTCATCCACGACCTCCGACACAAAACTCTCCTCCTCTTGCATGTTTCCGCTGTCCATAGCATTCCTTGACAGTGTCGTTTCTGAGTCACCAATTTAGAGCTACTTGGTCCTAATTGAATTTCCCATTGGGAACCTGCTAGCACTAAGTTGCTAACTGGTTAGCACATTCAAACTTGCTTGCCAATCTTCCGCCACAACAACCCCGCCCCCTTGATAAATGACCAATAATATTCACTTTATTCACTGGAGAATTCGGAAATGCAACTGTTGGAACAGCCGCTTCCCTACGACTTTAAAAACATAGGAGGAAAAACTAAAGACTTTAGACTGAGGTCCAAACACCCTGGACATGTCGAGCAGGCAGGTCCTCGTCCTGACAGAAATCCCCTCAACAATCTGGCCGAGTTGAAATAAATTTTTGCCAACTGTTTTTTATCCAGTTTCACTTGGGATAAAAACGATGCATTTATAAAATGTATTAACTCTGTCTACAAAGTAGGAAGGATTGGGAAATAAGTTTCCAACATTTATTGGGATATCCTTAACAGTGTCGTCCACATCGTGCATAAAGGGAAACCCAACGCAGAAACCCGCCAAAGGGATCCAGGAGCATCATAAGTCCACCTCTGAGGTCCCAACTTGTCTTTTATATCCCACTTTCTTTAAAGTTTGACAAAAGATGATCATACATCTATAATGTGACATGTTTGCTTCCTTATAAACCTGGAAATATCCAGTATTTTTAAACATTTGTTTTCCTTTTCCAAGCTTTGACAAAGAGTCCTCTACCACTGAGACCGTGTGGAAGATGGTGTAGAAATCGCAGCACTCTGTCACTACACTGAAATGTTTGTAATTCTTTTCAAACTTTGGTTTGATCCTGTTGAATGTAATCTGAAGCAGCCATTTTTGGAAACTATTGCCGCCCATTTCCTTTGTTTTTAAATTTTGAAGGCTTTTCCAGTTCTTAACTATTGAAATGTTTTGTGAACAATAGCTGACGTTCATTGATTGGACGCCGTCTCTGCTTTGCTTCAGGGAAGGCCCGCCCTGCCTGTATTTGAAATACTGCACTACTCTGTGTTTTCACTTTGAAGTATTTTGTGGTCAGATGAAGGAAAGTCATTAGTGGATTGTTTCCCCGCTCTGTGGTCATTTGCTGTGTGTGTAATTTTGATCGTCTTGTCACTTCGCCTGTCTGGGGGGGGGGGGGGGTCAGATTGGTGAAACTGTAGTACTTGAAAGTGTGAAACTTCTCAGGCCGTGGGAGTGTTTTTGTTTGTGCACTAGACTGTTTCTCTTCATGTGTTTTTCTTCATCCTTGAAGTTCTGTTTTGTATTGATCTGGTCGATAAAGTCTGAATCCTCGGAGGGATACAGTCGTGATGTTTTTCATGTCTGCTGGTCCTCTGACATTTTACTTGAACATGTTTATGTGATTTAGATTTGATTCCTTCCCCTCACTGGCTGCACTATGCCTGATGTTGTTGTCCAGTTTCCTGTTGATCTTGCACTGGTTCCACCCAGACGCCTTTCTTTCTGTCTTTCTCTGGGGGGGTTTTGAGAAGCTTTGGCTACAACTGCTGACACAACAAGCTGCCGGAAAAAGCCTCTCAATAGATTAATATCGCATAAAATAAAAGACTTTAAGATGGAACAGTCACGTGTGTTTTTATTTATTTTTGTTTTAATCAGGAATCTTTTATGCCAGCTGTATATTTCCCAGCTTGGACAAATCCAGGTCTAAAGTCATTAGTATATACTCGAGCACCCTAGGTAAAGGTATAGATCACAGGTCATTGATTAGCGGACCCAACCTGATTTAAAACATTTATAAATTACTGCATGTTGTCTGACGACTGTGTCTAATTTCACTTGCGCAGCTTCTCCTGTTAATATGGTAAAGCCCTCCGGAGCGTCTGGGAGCATGCAACATGTGATACAAATGATCCAATGAGCTGCTGTCAGTCTGGGTTGCTGCTGCTGCTACTTTTAGACACAGCAGGCAAACCTGTGGCAAGCCGGGCAATGGGAAAGAAGGAGAAGATGAGAAAAAGAGCAGAGAAAGTGTGGACTGCTGGAAGAACTGTGGTGAACTGGTGACAGAAAAGTGAAATGGTGCTCAAAGATGGCCCTGCACATTTAGAGTATGTTTGGCTCAACCTGCTGCTGTGAAGCAGGATTCTCCACCATGAACAGGATCAAAAATAAATATGGATCCAGGCTCAAAATGAGCACCTTGATATGTGCTTAAGAATGGCTTTGTCTCCATTCAAACCCAGGTTTAAAGCCTTGCAGGGCAGCATAAAGCCCACTGCTCTTATTAAGACAGAAAAAAAAACAAAAAACGGTCAGTTCAGGTGTTTTATAAAATTATAAAATATGTGAATCAGGAAATTATCTATATACCCAAATGAACGATTGTTGTTCTCTGCTACAAAAAAACACTTTAGATTTTAAAATAAAAAAATGCTCTATTTTTTTTTTTCTTTATTTTTTTTTCTTTAAAAAGTCAGTGTATAATATGAATTTATAAACACCTCATTTTATTTCAGTGTTAAATTATTTTAAAAGTAACAGTTTATAATTAAAAATGTCTCTGGACCTTTACTGGTTGAGGATTTTCTTCATTCGGACCCTACTTATTTTTTAACGGTTACCCCTGATTTAGGTAGTTTTAAAAAGGGTACTTTTACACTTTAACTTAAGTAGAAAGCTTAAACTGATGCTTCTACAAAAGTGTTTTTTATACAGTAGTATTTATACTTGTACTTGAGTAAAAAACAAATACTTTAGACACCTCTGGAATTATAGGAGTAAAAACAGTGAGCTGCTGCCATTGCTGTGTAAAAGTAAAGGGAACACAGCGGGACATAGCAAGGTGAAGGTGAGAACCAGAGGAGCAAAAAGAAAACATTCTGATCATAACGTAGCGGAACAGCTTGGGTAGAGTGAAAAACACTAAAATGATGAAGGTGTTTTATAAAATATGTGAATGAGGATATTGTCTATATAACAAACTGAACGATTGTTGTTCTACACTTCAGAACACTTTAGATTTAAAATGGAAAAAATGTATATATTTTTTAATTGAAAAAGTCAATGTATAACATGGATGCATAAAAACCTAATTTTATTTCAGTGTTAAATTCTGTTTAAAGTAACATATTATAATTAAAAATGTCTCCAGACCTTTACCGGTTGATTTTCTTTATTCAGACCCAGCTGATTTTTAATTGGTTAATCCTGCTATAAAGTATATAGTATATAGTCAACTAAAATGATAGTAAACATGTTTATTTTTTATATAAATTCCTTTCAACTCCCCGCCTGGAAGCGTTGCCATATTTTCATTCACCCCGGTTTAATTTTTAACCAGTTTTCCTGGCAGATCAAAAGGTCCTTTAAGGAAGTTAGACATTTATGGTCCACTTTGAGATAAAAGCGTAAATCTCAGCTAAGTCTTAGCAACTGTATATATAATAGCCGAGCAAATTGGGAAAACCCAGAGGCCAACTTTTCCTCTTTGTGACGCACCTCCTGGAGGAAAGGAAGGAGGGACGGCTTCCTGGCAAAGCAAAGGAATAACGGACACTCTTAGTCAGAGGTTAAAGGTCGATGCAGGAGGAAAATGAGCTTGTTGCTATAAAACACAGAAGATTTACTGTTTACCAAATGTCATAGTGCTCTCAAAGTTAATGATAATTGATAAAAGTATGAATTTCTTTTTTCTAGCATTTAAAACAGTTTAGACACAAACAAGTGTAATACTTCAGTTTTAATTCTGGTTTTGTAAACAAAGACATATCAAAAAAGGCACAATCAATGTTACAGTATACTCAGTTTTTCATTGGCACATCTGGATCCCATTCATTCGCTCTCTGTGAAAAAATAATTCTCATAATGACGTGACGAAAGTCTCCATTAGTAGACAGTGAAGCAACAACTGTCTGCTGAAGACAGGAAACTTGTTACAGGATGTCATTTAAACTGATTTCAGAATAAAAGCTTGGATTCAAGTGCAAATTTCCTACTACCAGAGCTTTTTCTTTGCCTCGGAGAATAGTGCAGATGAGTTTAACTTGATATGTTGGTATAGAAAAGTTGGTAGTAGGAGCTTTAATTTCTGAGGTTATGTGAAGTTTGGTGACCTTTGATTGATCCATCAATCAAACACTCCTCTACGCCTGTCTGAGCCCTTCAGTGGGGCGGCGCCTGCCTACGTCACGCTTCGACAGCCGCCCTGTTGCCTGTCCATCACAAGATGCGATAACGCACTTATCCAAAGTGCAGTTCATCATTAAAAAGTGTCAAGAATATTTTGATAAACTTCTAAAGTGTCTTTTTTTTAGTCAACATCTACTGTGTAGTCCTTCAAGTTACGACATTTAGCCTTTTAGACCAGATCTGCTGATAAGTGGGCGAAACGTGGTGGTCGTGGTTGCGGTTGTGCTGATGTGGGGTCCATTTCTCATACAGCGCATGTTTCCAGTGGTGAAAACGCACTGCAGCGGCCATAGCACCACTATAACCAGTAGCACCATGAGCACAATGAAGAGCACCATCCTCTTCCAGTCTGCCAGTCTCCCCATCAGACCAGATCTCCTGGGCCTTGTCTGGACTGGAGGATCCACTGACTTACTGGCCCCAATGTCAATGCAGATGCAGAAGCCTGTGGGACTATCAGGGGCCCCTGAGATGGCGTCTTGTCTGGAGCTCTTGTAGCACAGCTTCTCCCCCTCCAACCACACAGGCTCCTCATGCTGTTGGTGGCTGGGGAGTTTGCAGAGGACTTCCTGGCTGGTGGCCAAAGCAGGGGGACCGTCCTCAGGCAACATGGTGGGGTGTCGGCAGAACGGGCAAGAGAGGCGCGTGCTGCTGCTCCCCTCCTGGTCGTTCAGTGTCACAACCATAAGTCGGGAAAGGCACTCCAGGCAAAAAGTGTGCGTGCACTCCAGCTGCTTGGGTGTTTTAAAGACATTATCATAGGTGTTGTAGCAGATGGAGCACTCCGGCTGGCTGGCCACGGATAGCTTCTTCTGCAGCTCTCCTGGAACTTCCTGTCTGGGAATTTGCATGTGCCACACCTGTGGAGTGCTTTCTTCCATCTTTGGAAATGTAACGCTTCCTCTTTGTCCAGGCGACTTTTTGACTGATCGTTTCTGGGTTATCTACAAAAAATTAATAAGCAGAAGAGATTAGTTATTCGTCTAAATGTGTTTTTCGTTCATTCCTCCCAATAATCCCGACAAGAAAACTAGGGCAGGTTTTATACTATGAATGTTTGAACCTTAGGCTATTTTAACTCCCCCTCAGTACACTCCAAAATGTCACAAAACTGGTATTTGACCTGCCAGCTGAGTAATTCTGTAATAGGAGTGATGCAACTGGGTAAAACGGGATCAATAATGTGGATTTTGTAAATTAAAGGCATAAACAAACAAGGCAGGGAAGAGTTATACAGAAAGACAGGGGAGTACGTCAGTCAACATTTGTAATGTGGGTGCTTGTGCAGGTACAACGTAGGCGTTATTATTTAGATAACATAATGTCCCTCATGAGCATAACGGTCAGGAAAACATTTTAAACTGGAAGAAAAGAGAAAGCTGGAAGGAAACCATATAAAATTCTAAAACGATTCTAAAACGAAGTGACTAAATGACTGTCGGAATGAACTACTTTCAATTTGGTTTTGAGCGATAACAAAAAGTTACCGCTACACTCCCTTGTACTTAATCTCAATAACATGGATGAAGCCAAACATTTGCTATTTGAAATTCGGCTCTTAGTTGTTTTTGTTTTAGATCTAAAATTTTTTTATTTCCTATCTGAATCTTGGTTACATGATTCAAACCCTAATAGTTTAAATCTCTGCTTTTATAAGAAGGGTTTTTAATTAATTATAAAGGGACTATACATTGAGAACATGCCTTTTAACTCATATCACAAAATCAGGATTATGGATAAAATGCATTTTGTTTTATTCTGATTGTGTTTTAATGCTTATATGTTTTTTTATTTTCATTATTAGTGTAATCAGCACTCCTGTAATGAATAAAGTCGTTTAGTCCTGTTTTAAACAGGTTCTGTTAATGATAAATCTATTATCCTTTCCTCCTTTCCATAAAGTTAATATCAGTAGCTGTTGGAGTAGAAAGGACACTGTGTGGTTGCGTATAGCGTGGCGATTGGTTGGTTGGAAGCTGTAGTAGCACAGGTGTTCTTGTCACTATGCCCTCAGGGCTGGTCCTGCTCCTTTTCTCCCATGAGTACAAAGTCTCCACTTGTACTCTGGCTAATCGTTCCATCTACCCTTGACATTCCTGCAACTGTCCCTCTTTATTCCTTGCTGAATATGAACAAGCTACACAAGGATTAGAACAGATGTTCCTGTGTAATTGCAATGACAGCTCATTATTTTCACAACAATTCAGTTATAAGGTTTAGTCTCTGTTTCTCAAGTGAATAATGAATCCAAGTCTTCTTCAGTTTCCTGAATGATATTTCTTTAGGAGGAAGAAGACATTATCTGGACTATTTAAGGAGATTTTGTGGTGTTTTGAGCACATTAGCGTTATTCATAATGTTTTATACCCATTGTAAACTGAAAAAACAGCATCTACATTCTTCTTCTTTAACATATAATTTTGAGACTCAAATAAAAGTGCTGGCGTCAGACTTCAGCTATGTGTTCAATGGGATCTTAGTTTAACTTAGTGACAAACTCAGAGACTTTGTAAAATATTACAATTTTTAATCTAGACGCCAACGAGGAGGAACGCTGCAAAGTACCCCTTTACAATATGATAAATTACTCATTTGCAGACTATATTAAGATTTGACCCACTTAATTATAAGAAACCCGAATAAAGAGATACCTGTATGATTGTTATTTTGTAAGATAAGTAATATATATATATTTTTTTATTTATTTCTTAAGAGAACTTTTAACTAAAAATTTAAGGGAGGAAACTGAAACTAAGAAATTGTCTCGGATGGAAGTTCCTAAATGTAGATAGTAGGAAATTATTATTTTTATTTATTGCATTAGTATACATTTATATTGATTAATACAAAAAGCACATGTGATCATATCTGCATTTTTTTAAGGTTGCTGTTAACCAATCAGATGTTAAAGGAACAACAGAGACAATTTCATTTGTTTTTCACTGAAAAATAGATCAAATATATACTAACATTGTATATATGAATAAATGAATATATATGAAATGTAATTAACTCGATTACTAACAAGTTTAGATACTCCTCCTGAACATATCTATAATTTTAAGTGACAAAGATGTTTATAAAAAAGTTATGTTATTATTGAATTTATTTGACAATTCAGCTCTAGTTGCAGTGTTAACCTGTGTTTTACTTTAAAGTAAAAAGTCTGAGTTTAGTTTAAGGTGGGGGTCATACTGACTGAAAAAATTAATTCTCTCATTTTTATTTAAATAAAGTGTGGGGTGACCACAGGGAGGAAGTATTATTCATTAATGGCATTCAGGCTGTGACTGATAGACTGATACTCCTCCACAGGATCAAATATTAACTTGCAGAGTTTTTGCCAAACCCCAAACATAAACTTCAAACACTGGGTGGGTCTCTTTATTGCCCCCTACTGCTTTTATGCAGTGTTGTGTTTTTCCTCTCTCGTCCCACTGACCTGTTTACAAAAAGGAATCACAGCTCATTAGAATGTGAGTCGATTTGTTTTTCTTTTATTTTGGAAGCCAAATTAAAAGTATTGATCTCTCCCTCCTTTGTGTTATCCCAACTGCCTGTTTCTGCATATCCTGTAAATCCAACTGTCAATGCTTGCACTACCTGTTCTCAGCATGCAAAGCAAATGAAACTTGATCTACCTGAGGTTTTTTAAGAGTGTGGGGGGCGGGGGCCCTTGCACAGACGGTTAAACAGAAGGGAGCATGTGTAAACAAGAAAAACAATGCGGGCAGCAAAAAGCAAGAGCCACGAGAATCTGAATGAAACAAGGGCTCAGAATGTAGTTTTATGACAATCCAACAATAAGAATAAACAATTCTGATGAAACTTCACATGTTTTTAAAGAAATGCCTTCATTTGTTGAAGAATAAAGCAGCTGTCTATTGTGCTGTTTTTCATTGCTAAAATGACCTTTCCTCTTTATATAAATACCTGGGAGGTTACAGGACAACATTAATGAGTCATTATTAAAAATACAGATTTAGATCTACAAAAAAAAAGTCCAATTTACCTGATAATTATAAAGATGCCAGGAAATCCTTTTGTCTTTCACTCAGCCTGGTTCTATTCACTCCCTTTCTATAAGGGAATACATTTTAAAAAGTTGTTTGACTTGAAAGATCCCAGTGGATGCAGTTGTTCCTCTGCTCAGGTCCCTCCCTCTTGTGTTGCAGCTCTGTCTGAGTGGCTGCTGTGGTAAAAGCTGGATCTTTCCTCCTCCTCAGCCGTTGGCCGTTGCCACCTGCCCTGTTCTATCAGCTCCCTTTTTAGCCCATATGCAAATGGAAAGTCTTGGCCTTGGGGTGGCGTCTACAGTGGAGGAGGAGGGGGAAGAAGAAGCCTCAGAACTGTGGAGCTGTAATGATTTTTCTTTATTGAAAACTCCTCCCATTCTCTGTTTATGGTGTTGGTGTTCTACCTTTATTTAGTGTGTCCACTCCCTCATCCATAATGCAATAACTAACACCTTCTGCACACAATTATAAATGTTGCAAATCCTTTAGACAAATAGTTTTACCTTTTCTCCTCAGCATCTGAGGCCCTTAAACACATCATATTCTCACATAAAAAATATATGCATGACCTTTTACGGGTTTCAAAAGCTTACAATAGTGAAATATTTATTGCTTCCAATTTAAAGACACTATTCAGTGGTGAACTTCATTAAACTCTGACAAGTGGGTTATAAATGTTGTTTTTTTACATGATTTCACAGGATACAGGTATTTATAAACCACTGAGATAAAATAAATGCTTTGTTCCTCTATTTCTGTTTGGCTTGATGACATCACAAGAGGAACAAGGACTGAGTTAATCAACAAGTATTAGTTAACTCTATGACAGACAAGGACGTTTTGAAAGATTTTATAATTAGCCCAAAAGAATTTGCCAGGGATGGAAACTATCTTCAGTTTTCCATCTAAACTCTTATATTTTGTGTTTGTTTTAATAATACTTTACAACCAAATACAAAAAAAGCAGAAAATCTGTCCATAAAATGAATTTCTGTAGCTTAAAGTGAGGAGAGGTGCCTGTAGCAGCTGTATATTGTATGTGGTTGAGGATCGGTGATGGATCCGACAGGAAGTAGGCCCCCAAATCAGCAACCACCGGCGCTTTGCATGAGCCTTTTTGGTTTGAGACGAGACATTCATGCAGAGGAGTCATTTCAATGTGGCCGCTGATAAGGTAACAGCTGCCGTTGCAAGACTCACTTCCCACAGGAGCGCTCCTCTGAGAGAATGACCTCCTGTTCCTCCTTCTCAGCAGCGTTCAGTGCTGCTGACCAACATTGCGTAAGCCAACCCCGCAAGGTGACTCTTTCAGTGATGCTTGTTGTTTATCAGGAGGGGAAAATTCTACTTTAAGGGAAGTCAGCGTCCTGGAAGAAGATTAGAAAGAATTTTTAGTTGGAAACAGCAGTTTAAAAAAAATGTAATTTGGGTAAGAAACATAGATCAATAATTAAGATTCTGGTAATTCGGATTAATTAAAAAAAAGGGTGTGTTTGTCTGGTTTACTTAAATGCGGTTACTTATTTCATTTTATGGTAATGACTAATGCCTGTGGGACATTAGGAATAGCATGTCTGTGCTGTAACAGCTGCCTAACTGACCTGGTTATTAAGTAACCCAAACACAAATACTGCCGTATCACCTCAACACAGTCATTTACTGGGCGTTGTGCTCTGCACACATGTAGGAATGATTAAGAAATTTAATTTAAAAAAAAAATGCTGTCTCATTGTGCTTCCTGGATAGTTGGTAATAAAGATGTCATAGATAAACTTGGTGCATATCAGAAGTTGAGTATTATTTTTGCGGGTGGTTGGGGCCGGGAGGAGCTGCCACTGAAACCTCAGGAAAGGATACACGTGAGCAGGGAAGGTGTGTGTCGAGGTGGGCCATAAAACAACACTGTTTACCATCTCCTCACTTGAACTGACGGTTAGACGGAGGCCGAAGGGCAAAGAGGATAGTTTCAAGGCACCAAGGGAAAAATGGGTCTTCCTTCTAAAAGGAAAAACACAATGTTACGTTTGTGAGAGCTGATGTTTTAATACTGATTTTGTAACAATGTCCTTGTCTCTCTTGTTTAACTTTTTTATCTTGCAGAGTTGGACAGAGTTTTGATCATAAAAAGATCGGTAAACCAACCAAACAATCACTTAATTCAGTTTATTTCTATAGCGCCAATTCACAACACATGTCATCTGAAGGCACTTTACAGTTCACCAGATCATACAGTCAAATTGATTCAAAGTTTTCTATCTACAGAAAAGCAGTTGATTGCATCGACTCATTGACTCACTAAGCATGCCTGTAGTGACAGTGGAGAGGAAAAACTCCCTTTTAACAGGAAGAAACCTCCAGCAGAACCAGATTCAGTGTGAGCGACCATCTGCTGAGGCCGAATGGGGTTCAAGGAGACAGAAGCATAGATACAAAAGGCAGCTGTAAAAGGCGGCCCCGTCCAGGAAACACACAGCCAGGCAGACGAGCTCGGAGCCAGCTCCCATGTCAGAGGATGAAGAGAGCACATCCAGCCAGTCACGGTCAGAGAAACAGGACCACACTGGAAAACAGGCTGATCTCGAACATCTATAAACAAAGGTGTTCATGGCAGCAGCAAAGCTGATATTTCTCTCCAGGATGGTGCCACAGCCAAACAAGAACAGACCCGATGAAGCTACTATGAGAAAAAGCAGAGAGAGCAGAACGTTAGAGATTGAACTAACAGATTCTGCCATATCTTGTGGGTTATGAGTGGGATTGGGGTCCATGAATAAACAGAGCCCTGCAAAGATCTGTTTTTTCAGCTTTTTTTAATCCTCTTTACACTGTCACAAGTACAGAGCAATGAAATTCACTGTCTGCATTTTAACCCATCCCCTTGGGGAGCAGTGGGCTGCCATTGTACGGCGCCCGAGGAGCCGTGTGGGGTTAGAGGTCTTTGCTCAGGGACCCAGAGTCTGTGGGAGTGGGGCTGGAACTCAGAACCTCAGGATTCCAAACTATACACCACTAGGACGCCACTCCCCTGGAAATTAATTCTGCTTTAACGTTTTCACATTCTATTACATATCTGTACAAACCTCTGCTTCTCAACTGGATTTGAGATGAACCAACATAAAGCAGTGCAGAACTGGTAAATGTTAACAAAATAAAAAAAATATTTTTTTTTCTTCTGCATTCAAGCCCAACAAGTCAGCACTGAAGCACTTTTTCTTATCTCAGTCACCTTAACTTCTTTGCATCTTCTTTGAATCTCATTCTGTGTGGATTCAGAACATCTGGGAAACATGAATATATAATCCTTATTGAATATTTCCATTGTGTTGTAAATCTACTGTATTCTTTTCAGGTTTTGGTCTCAAGTCTTTTGCAGCGGACAGGTTTTCCCCAAAGTTTTCCCTGTATTTATCTGCCACCATTTTTCCAATAAACTCCTATCAGCTTCCTAGAGGAATCCCCATAGCACAATGCTGCCACCACCCTGTTTTACCATGGGAGTTTAAGGTATTCCCCTAACATAGACTCCATATAGTTCAGAACGTCTTCTGCTGTTTGTCACAAATGAGCTGTGAAGCTGAGCATCTTCACCTGATTATCATGGACCTCTTGAAAACCATGAGTACATTTCCATCCACTTCAGCATTAGCCATATTAGGCTATATGCAAAACGTAGTTTTTTAAGACCTTATTGCTGACTGAACAGGAGACGAATGTTTGTATAGATGTTGCTTATGTGACTTGAGAGGCTGGTTTCTTTGTCTGTCTGTCATTTAGTCTTCAGCTTTGAAGTTCTTCTGAAAGTTTCCCTTTTTTGATATTTTTTACAAACTTACATTATTTCCAATTTTTTTAAAATTTGCTGAATAAAGAAGAGCATTGCAAAAACGAGAAAATTGAGAAAATTCTTACAATAAGTGTATTAGCCTTTAATTTGAACAGTTAAACAAGTTTAAGTCCCAATATAAAGAATATCATTGCCCTTAGAATAAGATAATTAGATATTATCCACTTAAAATATGAAAATTTTGTGTGGTTTTTCCTGTTTTTAATTGTATTACTTAACTGCTCAATTTTAGGGAAAATAGACTTATTTAAAGAAAAAGTGACTCAATTATCTTTCAAATTTTGCAGTGAGTCTTTGAAGCAGAGGTTCTGTGGAGACGATAAGAAAAGTAAGCATCTTACCGTCAGTAGATAACTCCCCGTAATATTATAACAATGATTTAAAAACATTAAAATAATTTATGTAAATGCTAATATAGTCAGAAGTTAATCAAACTGATGACAAACCATTAAACTCTTATGTCAAAGATAAATCTTTCAAAAAGGCAGTGAAGGACACACAACTTATACAGGGAAGTAAAGCAAATATATCCAGTCATTTACTGAATGTATATAAAAAAAAAACATGGACAGCTCTATAAATAAGATGTAAGATCTTTTACTGTAAATATTAATCCTGCTGGACATAAACTGGCAGTGTGATTAAAAGGAAGCATAAGCTAACAATTATTTTATGCCTTTTTTGAAAAGGAAACAAACTTTAAAGTCCAAATAAAGGCCTTAAATATGAAAAACGTTTCCAATACAGGTAGCTATAAGCAAACATGCAGACTGATTAATTTCAGTCTGTTCTATGTTTGGGTTGTTGAGGCTGAAATGAAGTCAAAAGCAAGTCAGGATATTGGTTTACAAGCGCACGAGGACTTGCTTTATAGTTTACTGTAATCTCGTGGAGGTCAGCAGCTTATCTCTATGGCCCGCAAAAGCAAAACAGCGACGTTCTTCATCAACTAATCTTTGGCCCTGTGGGTATTACTGTAGTAATTTGTTGGGGGTCGTTTCTGGAGGAAGAGGGAAGTAAATCCTCTTCATATTTCATCCTATCGTGCTTCCATTGTTGTTTTTTTCTGAGACTAGGGAAGGAGTTATAATCATTCAGCACTGGAGGGTTAAAAAAAAAAAAAAAAAAAAAACTACGACTTGTTCAAGACAAAATACAAAGTTTCATGAGAACAATGTTTCATGATGATCCGAGGCCAAGGAATTCAGTTTGAAGGGAACTGATCTCACCGACCTTCACTGTCAGCACATCATCTGGAAGGTTGTTTTTATGCTGAGGTCATTTTATGCATTTCTACCTACAGACCAAAAGGCCTTTGGTGAAAAGTATGCGTTGACTCATTCACACACTCTCTGAATGACTTAGTGTTATGGTTAGAAGGTATTTCTAAGCCTACGTGCTCCATTTGTTGCCAGAAGTGTCCTTGTCTCTGTTTTGTCTCAGTGTTTCACAGGA